TTTTAGGACTTTTAGGTATCCTACACCCCCTCTACAGCCTGCAGGCCTCCTCTCCACCATACAGGGCTTGGGTAAACCGGGAAAGCGTGTTTTAGAAGGACGTCATAAGATGCAGTCCCAAAACTGGACAACCACGCTGTAGCCGTCTTTCGGCTATGGCGTGGTATAGTGTGGTTGGCAAGTGGTTTCTTTGTATCCCAAACAATTCTTCTGGCAGTTTTGACTGCAAACTTTATAAGTTATTAAACAGTACTGACTGGCATATTCAAAGCTTTGGATATCTTTTTATATCCTTTTCCATCTTTATAAAGATGCATTACCTTCCTATGTACATCTTTTGACCGTTCTTTTCTGTTCCCTGGCTCAGTATCTAGCCTGCTTAGTGCATCCATGTAAGAGCTAACAAACTCACTATTTATGCACAGACACTAAGTGCAATTTTAAAAGCCACAGATGTGGGAAATTAACCTTTAATTGCCATTTTAAACACGTGTGTGTCACCTTCTGTATCTGTACAAAGGCCAAACATTCCAGGGTATGTCAACTTTTGATCAGGGCTATTTGGGTGATTTCTGTTAGCATTATGATTTAAAAAGGAGCCAAACAACTAGGTGATAATAAATGGCTTCATATGATCACTATCCTTAAATAGAAGACAGTTTTTTGGCATGATCAGTCATATTTCCAATATAAATGTCAAAATGTCATTATTTCTGCCAGGGTATGCAAACTTTTGAGCACAAGTGTATATATAAAATACTTTTTGTTTTCCTGGCTGACGGTGGAGTTAGTTTAATTTTTTTGGACAGTCAGCAGATTTTTAAATATCTCTAATTCTCTGTGTGGAATTTTATAACCTATTTCAAGCAAACCTTGCAATCTTTAGGACCACAAGTCAATGGAAAATAATGATGTTTCTCTTAAGATCAATGCTGTTTCAAATAAAAAGCACTTCGGGGGAAGCTTGTGTAGGAGTTGCCAAATTACACAAACAAACTCACATATGAACCTATTAGTTATACCATATTGTAAGGAACTCGACAATAATAAAATACTGATTACAAAGCTGAATTTAGTGTAGGTGTAAGCTGAAAAATAAGAACAAACCAAATTAACCATAAATCAGGGAAGGACTTTTCGCCTTTGATGAAATTAAAGAGCAGGTGAACGATTATCGATAGATGGATGCTGTTGCTATCTTGCTGTGACCCTTAGCAGAGTAAACAATATTATCTCATGGAGCTCAATTCTATTAGTAAAGGATCCAAACTGTGTAGGAATAGGGGTCTCTGGATCCCTGGGTGGCTCAGGTTTTCTGGAGATAATGGCACCTAACTGAAGAATGGTGCAATTCGCACACTCTGAGCCCACCTGGGTGTACGAATGCCATCCATGTTGATGTCCACCAAATTTCCTGAAATAAAAGTATTAAAAAGGAAAAAAGTCCTTTTAAGGTTTTTTTATAGTTTCCAAACTTATATAATAGTATCTTTCAAAGGCAATTGGTGGCCAATTCTGGTCCTCACAGCCCACTAACAGGGCATGTTTTACCACTACCACATAGATGCCTGTTGGCCAATTGTCAGGCCCCAGCACTGCTTCATAGGGGACAGGGTTGTGCCATGTCCTATGCAAATACTGACGTTCATATTTTAACTTGTATAATAGTATCCTTTAGAGTAGAACTATGATCATTGTAATGCTGCTGCTGCTGCTGCTGCTGTAGCTGCTTGCACCATTATTAGCTCTATCAGTAAACAGACACATTTAGTTCTACCCACAGCCTGTTAAATTGATAGCACATTATTCTATATGCAGGAGCTTAAGAAAATAATGTAAAAGCCCTGCTCAGTCCTTTTTCTGAGCAGGCTGCAGGGTACAAGAGAAGTCCATCTTACCAACAGCATTTGCCATTAAAGTGGTATTTAACTCTAATTTTGAAAAACTGCTGACAGGCAGGGTTTTTTATAACACAAAAGACCCCAGTGGTCTCTTCTTTTATAAATGCCTTTCCTGGCCTGTCAGCAGTATTGTAGCCTGAGCCTCGAATGTGCAGCTGATACAACATTTACAGCACCCACTGGTGAAGTGACTCCAGGGCAGTGACATCATTGCGGCCGGCCAGTCAAGTGGCTGAAGACAGCAAACTCAGAAGGTAGATTGTGAAAAGATGAAAGCACCGAAGCGGTGACAGCTCAACGCTGGAGGGCTTTGTTTGAGAGATAATTCTGTCATAATGTGGGGTATGTAGTACATGCTAGCACATTATGACATCAACTTGTAGAAGACAATTTTTTTTTTGCGGAATTCAATACCCCTTCAAAAAAGAAGTAAATCACTTTTCTTTTAAGGCATTTGCATGCCAAATCAGCAGAGTTCTGGAATGGCACACAACTTCCAAAGGGTAAAATAAACTTTACTGTTCAGCACAAGCGCAGACACTCTACCCAAGATCCTGACTCTAGCATGTTTTTGCCCCTACTGGGGCTTAATCATCTCTATGATCTATGATGAAGCCTCAGTAGGGGCGAAAAATGCCATAGGGAGGAGTAAAGGGTGGAGTTTCTATACTTCTGCTGGACAATAAAGTTGATTTTAAAATTTGAAAGCGGTGTGCAATGCCAGACAGGAGTAAGGGGCCTCAGAGAAGTGAGCACTTGTGACCTACTAGAGTTAAGGAATGCAGAGGTCTTAGTAGAAGCTTCATTTTCTATCAGTAACATATTTAACATGCCAGCTTGCACTGAAATTGCATTTATCACTGACAGTGGAAATAACTAGAGTGGAAATAACTAGAGGCTTTAGGTGCACTTTTTCTTTTTCTTTACAAAAACAGGTTGTTTTATTGTACAAGGAAGTATAAAATATTGTAACAGATACACAATGCAAACATTTGACATGAAAGTTATAGTACAAAACAAATGAGCAGGAACAATATATTGCACCAATGTAGGACAAGAGGAAGGGCGGAGCAAAACGAGCTGCAGACAATAATCATGGAAATCAGTCCAATGTCCAATGTTGCCTCATTAGAAGCAGTGTGAAGGGAAAACCCAAGAGTATGATGAGCAGAAACCAGATATCCAGAGAAATAGAAAAGGGAAAGGAAAAAAGTGGGAAGGAGGAAGGGGGGGAGAGAACAGAAAGAAGGAAAGGAGGGGAAGGGGAGAGGAAAAACTCAAAAGAAAAAAGGAAGGGGGGGGGGGGAGGGAGAAGCTACCATAAGTCCCCACTAAAATTCCTAGTAGAGAGTAATGGGTCACCACAATCCCTCAGCGAGATGTCCAGGGGAGCCATACCTTATCATATTTCCAGGGACAGCCCCTAATATTATTAATATAATAAGCTTGTACATTGGAAGGGCCACATCCACAGCTAATTCTCAGGTTGACGTAACCAGGGGATCTCCAGAATTACACTTTAATAGAATCTCTCTTTTGGAGATATGAGATCAACAACTTCAGATGGTGGGATCGTTTGCACATCATCATGAAGCCCTAACAATGCTAAGGCAGGCGAGAGGGTCATGGACAGTTGAAGCCGTACATTAATCAGATCAAAAACATCACACCAAAACAATACAATTCTAGCACACATCCAAAACATATGTAGAAAGGTACCTGGATATAACCGACAGCGAGAACAGGTAGGGTCCTGCTCTGGGTATATCTGGGGAAGATTCAAGGGGGTAAAATAGACCCTATGTATAAATTTGACCTGTATGAGCTTATCCCTGGAGGAGATAACCAACCTAGGACCATGTTCTAGAGCCTCCGCCCAATCCTCCTCATCCAAAGAAGGAATATCTTCTTTCCATATAGCCCATAATTTCTCAACTCCTCAAAAGGGTCCCCCTGGAGGATAGGTGGTTGCGGGAATTGGGCCCTGGACGCATGTCGCAGTTGGAAATAGTGGAAGAACATCTTCTTTGGGATGGAACTTCTGGGAAAGCTGAGAGAATGTTAATAGCACCCCAGAGGGAATAACATCAGCCAGGGTTCTAACACCATATCTGGCCCAAACGTGTGGGTCTGGAATGGAGCAAAAATGAGGGAGTGTAGGATTCCTCCAAAGAGGTTGGGCTGGGGAGACATGATTAGGTTGAAGGAATCATCGTCTAGCCAAAATCAAGATTCGTAAAGCAGCCTGCGTCAGTCCTGGAATGGTGTCATAAGCCCTACGTCTCCGAAAAGGAATATTATGGAGATCTGTTAGAGATCCCAAGCAGGCTGCTTCCAGGCAACTGCTCCTTCCTTACTCATAAAATAAGCGTCTGCTTTGCCATGTTGGGACAATGCTGTTTATTACAGCATTTCCGAAGTATGCGATGCTGGGCTGGATATTATAGGGTTGACTAGCAGCATGAGAGCCGCTCACATCTTGAATTGTTGCTCTTGGCATTTCTATTGTTATTGAAGCCAACCCAAGTGAGTCTTATAGCACAGGCACTGAACTGCCGCAGGGTATGAAGACCGCTTTAATGGGCTAGAGACTCTGCTAGGAGTGTCGGCCCAGCAAATATGATTTTACACTACATTAAATACCAAACTTCAAAAACATGCTGTGCACAATTTGCTTGAGAATAAAGTATTATTATTCTCACTTCCAGAAGAAAAATAGATGCATTTCAATAAGAGGTTGTAGCTCAGGAACAAAGGAACAGAGGAATTAACAGTTACGGCCACTTAAAGTTCACCTTTTTCTTCTTTTCTCAAAAAGCTGCTTATGCATTACAGTGTCCCTAATGCATAAACGTGTGCCCCATTTTGTACTTACTTTCTCAGCTGCTTATATAATTGTCCTACTTTCTCTGTCCTGCAGATAGAAGGACGTACCCAGTATCGGATACACATCCCCAGAAATTCAAGGATGCGCACTCTCGGACCTTATTCCTTACCCACACATGTGCAGTTCACTCTCTATTGCAGCTGAGCATTCTGGGAAGGTAAAAAAGAGCAGACTGTGCATACATGGGTAGGGAGCAGGGGCGGACTGACAACTCATGGGGCCCCTGGGCAATAGGGGATCATGGGGCCCCTGTGTCCTTGCCCAAACTCAAAAAAGCCTATGAAAAAGGTACCAGGGGCATCTCATGGGGCCCCCTACTGACCCCGGGCCCTCGGGCACTGCCCGAGTTTCCAAATGGTCAGTCCGCCCTTGGTTGGGAGGGAAGTTGGGAATGCTCATTCCTAAGCTTCCAGGGGCCAGTCACCCAGCACTGGGTATGTCCTCCCATCTGTAGGACAGAGAGAAGAGGGTAATTATTGGACAGGTTAAAAAGTAAGCAGTTATTTGCAAAGCAGAGCACAGAAGGTTTTTTTGGAAAAGGCAAACTAGCCCTTTAAAGTCCTAGTGCCCAACTTGCGACCTGAGGGGTGCATGTAACCCTTTGGCACTTTTTGTTTAGCCACTGGGGCCCCGTGCATTGATGAATCCATTTTCGCTTTTGCCTTGTTATAGCAATGATTCTAGCAGTCTCATATAACATGTCTCCTGAAGCCTGTCCTCAGTATCTAACAACCTATATAGCATATTTGCAGTCTCTGACAGTTTCGTGCAGCATGCCTGCAGTCTCTGACCATCTCCTGTACCATGTCCATTGTTTCTGACCATCTTCTGTGTTATTGCCACAGTTTCTGGTCATCTCTTGTATGATGCCTAAAATCTTTGACTAACCTGTGGTGTATCTGCTGCCTCTGACACTTATTATTCACTGAATTTTATGTGTGGCTCTTTGGTGATGTCAAGAGCAACACTTGAGACCTCCATATCATGAAAGTTGACCATCACTGCTTGACTTCTGTAAGACAAGCCAGTCTCTCCACTGTCAGAATAGAATAGCTCAGCGGGGAGAATTCCCCCATCCACATCAAGTGTGTGGATGGGGAAATCAAATATTTTTTTTATTGTTCAACCTATGGAAAAAAAAATGACTAATGTATGGGCTGCTTTATACTAAAGCAGCAGACATGTAAAAAGAACATTTGTATGTTGAAAAATGGATTACAAATTCCAGTTCTGTAAACACATTTTTACATTGATAAGTCTGTTGCTTGGATTACTTAAAAATTCAAACAATTTTCCTATGAAGAATGAATGACTGAACTGACATTGTATGTTTATTGAGACTTATATCTTATGTCTATAGATTCCCTAAAGCTATAAATCAACCAAGATTTGAGCCGTGGGTAGCCATGTTGAGAAATTGAAGGAGAAAAAGTTGCCCAATCATCAGAATACAGTAGCCAGTGGGAGATATGCTGTCCATACACAATTTCCATAGATTCCTCCTTCCACGCTGAACAGCATGGATGGAATAATCTATGGAAATTGTGTATGGTCAGCCTAAAGACAGTTTACAGTTTCATGGACACCCCATCCCACAACAGATGTACCTAGTTTACTTTCTCATCTGATAAAAAATGAAAATGCAATATTTTTCTATATACAGCGCCAAGAAATCTAAACATAAATATATACATTTTTTTTTATAATCTGAGAGGCTTTGGTCATGTTCTACAATGATGCCAAAGAACATTAAGCTATCAGTCCCTCTATTTTAAACTTTGAGATAACAATCAGCTAAAAATCTGTCCACAATTAAATCCTTTATTTTTCGGGGGGATGAATGTGACCTGATTCCAGTTCAGAGCAGTGGGTATGTTTTTCTGTTGATAAAATCAGAAGTCTGCTTGTCTTCATGAGAAAATATAATCATATGTTCAAGTACAGAATCCAATCTTTTTTTTCTTTTTTATAGAATCATTAGTGGTACATAAAAGCAAATAAATAGCTGTCTTTCTTTACATGGGAAAATGTCTTGGTGTGTTATTATCAGCATCTTCTACGGGGTTTTATCTGTCTGATCCTGTCATCATCCTCACCAAATGCAGGATGGACTGCCAAATGATGGGATTAAAAGATGAGTCTGAAATAAGGGTTATCACAAAAAAGATGTGAATGCTATTAAAGAAGCCTTTTGATACTGTTGGCAGTATATGGAGATATTTCATGTGAGCAATTATTCAACTTTAGCGTTTAAAAGGGTTTATAAATACCCTGAAGAATTTCCCAGTGGGGAAAGGGCAGAGGGTCCATGTCACCCTGCCGTGTGCCTGTTGGGGGTTAAATGACAAACGTCATGGAAAAACCAAAGAGAGAGCCACTGCTCAGTGTTTCATGGCACAAGAAGTGAGATAAACTGATACATATTGAAAAGCTTGCATGGATGATGCCAAAACAGCCGTTTGATTATTTCTGTTTAACAGAAAGTGACTGCAGAAGAAGAGAGCTGCCAGGTAGGACATCGGTTTCATGTCTTATTTATTTATTATAGGTATCTGTAAACGCTGGCAATTTACACAGCACTTTACATATAAGGTATCTTGTATATTCACATCAGTCCCTGTCCTCAAGGAGCTTACAATTTAAGATCCCTAACTCACATTCTTACTAGGGTCAAATGAGGCTAGGTTCACACATGTGGGCTGGTTCCAGGTTTAGGAATTGCATCTGCTCCTGCACCCGCAACCACCAGCAATTGAATCACTCTGCTCTTGAGAGACACGCATGGCTGCAATTTATTCTGAATGGCACCCCAATGCATCTCAGCCTGCAGTGCGCCTGTGGGTGAAGGAACTGCCAGGAAACCGCATGGTCAAAAAAGATCATGCGGTTTCCCTGAGACTGCATTTTTAAAAAGGTGCATGCACCTTTTTCCTGTGGGAAACGTGGTACAGCAGCCAATTCATTGCCCGGGCAAATGCGAAATAGTGTGAACCAAGCCTTAGGAGCCAATTAACCTACTAACACATAATTACATAAAAATATCGGCACCACATTGGCCTTACACCAATCCAGTGGTACTATACCAGTCATTAGAGTCCCTAAAAAAATAGAAACAATGGCTTTGAAATGACAGAGCTCAATTCTTTACGGACCCGCGGGTGTATGCCATCCGGTTCAGGTGCTTTATTCACCTTTATTCTGTGTAAATATTTCTGGATCATATCAGTTGTGAGACAATGTGGATCATCTGGAGCTGTGTCAATACCATGTCCATTATGGACAAGAGCTCCCCCATGCTCCTTTGTATACACAGAGCTGAAGAAGGTGTTTAATAAATTTGCCTTCTGTTTGTTCCCAGTCACCTCCTCTAGATTATTTTGTAAAGGGCCTACATGCTCGGACCGAACCTTTTTACTATTAATATATTTGAAGAATTTTTGGGGGTTGGTCCTGCTATCTTTTGCAATCTGTTGTTCATTTTCAATTTTTGCGGCCTTTATTTCCTTTTTGCATAACACATGTTTGGAGAGTAGGAGGAAACCGGAGTACCCGGAGGAAACCCATGCAGACACAGGAAGAACATGTAAACTCCAGGCAGGTATCATTGTGGTTGGAACTTGAGCCAAGGACCAAAGTGCTCTCAGGTGGAAGCAGGGCTGGTGCTAGACTATTTTGCACACTAGGCAAGACCAGCTACTTACACCCCCTCCCCCCTCACCCCCCCAAAAAAAAAAAAAAAAAAAAAAAAAACATTTTAAAAACAGAACATATTAAATTAACAAAACATGAAATGTCTACATTTCTTTTACTTTGCAAAAATAAGTGCCGTAAGATGCCACCAGTACCAATATTAAAGACAAAATCAGTGTCACGGATGGACTGTATCTGTGGCTGGCAGTGGCAGGGTGATAGTTGCAATAAGTGGAGGATGATGGATCCAAAACCTGACAGATCCAAGGCTGGAATTCTCCAGGCAATGGGGGGAAATAAAACGCTGTGACAGCAGGCAGTTGAACTGAGCGATCCCACACAGTGACAGATCTGACACAACACATCACCACCAACACTGACACAGATCAGCAGGCCCAGGAGACTCTAGAAGAGCAGGCTGTGGGACTGTGATGATGTCATCACTCGTTGACACAATGCACATGTGATGGATGTCTGGCCAGCCAGACATCAGAGTCAGACATTACCTTCCTCTGCAGGTGCAGCTCCACCTCCACTGATGAATGGGAAGAGAAGGGCTGGAACTCCACAGTGAATAGCAGCCACCAGCCAGCTTTCAGTAAGGGACTGAGTCGGAGAGGAACACTGGAAGGATTGGCAGCTCAGCTGCTACACTGGCCCCAGAAACCTGGCATCTTCCACTGTCCTTTCTCCCCCCACCCCTGCCACCCCTCCTCTCAGCCGAAGAATCATTCATGACATGGCAGTGTCCCATACAGAGAGAGTGCCGGCCTGTGCTGCACCCAGATGGCAGTGTGCCCTAGGTGGCTGCCTATGTTGCCTAGTGGAAGCACCAGCCTTGGGTGGAAGTGCTAACCACTTAGCCACTGTGCTGCTCAACTGAGAGCTTGTCCAATATGTACTATAGAACAGATATGCAGTCATAAGCCACTTTCACACTGATCCGTAGAAAAATGCATATGTGTTTTTGCCACGTTTTTACCATGTCTGCAGTGCGTTTTTTACAGGACAAAAAAAACACACCAAAAACAAAACACGAGTGCATATTGATGCATTTTTGATGCATTATTGCCTCATTTTCCATTCATTTCAACGGGGAGGTGTGTTTTTGGTGTTGTTTTTTTTACGGCACCAAACCTACACCAAATCTGCAGCAAGCAGGATTTTAAAAAAATGCATGGAAAACCAAAACTTTTCATGGAGTGATCAGATACTTTTTAAAGATAACATGCAGTCTTTCCAATTATTTTTAAATATACCGGTACATATAATAAAGATCAGCTTGATGATAATAACCTCATCAATGTGTTCCTCAATAATAAGGTATTTTGATCCTTTGGGTTTGTGTTGATGGCATCAGATTGAAATGGTTCTGAGAATTCTAAGAATTCACTGGCAGATGTACCTAAGGACTGATAAACTCACATTTAGGAGCTGTTCAGCGTTTTTTTTTTCAGCAGCCCCTGAACTCTCCCTAATGTTTTCCTCTGTGTCCATGTACACATCATTGTTTACAGTTTATAGGCAGTTTTTTCGAATGCAGAAAACTTGTGTTCAGCAGTAGATTTTATCAGCGCTTCAAAAGCAAAATGCTGGTAAATGTGTGTAAACGCTGCTAAACTCGGCTAACTGCGTTTATAGGCATTTGCGGTTGAATTTTTTTTTTAACTCTTCCACTTCCA